TACACCTACTTTTGTGCTGAAATAGTAGTGGTTAATTGTTGTTGTGCTGCCTTACTGGACTTTATTGTTGTTTTTTGCAGGAAGTGTTGTTGTAGCTGCTGCTTTTACCTTGTTTTCTTGTTTTTTTTGCTTTACTTTTGCATAATCCCTTAGGATTCTTATTCCAATTTAATTTTCGATTAAATTTGGAGTAGGATAAACATTAGGAGTGAAATCCATGCATGATAACAAGTAGGATAATACGTTTTAACCTCAATCTCAGGTCCATCTTTTGCATGCTAACATTAGGATAGAATTTCCTTTTCGCATCCCGACCTTAGGACCACTTTGTATGACAATGTTAGGACCGAGTTTCCCTTAGACCTTTCGTGCATCTCTCTTCCCATCTCTAAACAATGCTAATAATTTAATAAAGATGATGAACTTTGTGCGCCACGAGCCTTAAGCATATGGGAAATGATGAGTGAGGGGTTTCTCCTCACCTGTCTAGAGTGTTTAGTGTAAGCCCCGTGGGCGATATGCGACACATTCGTTCCTATATCATAGTCTTTAATGCAATGTGAATCTCAAGAAAACTAATTCACTTCACTAAAACTCACAAACAAAATTCAAACCTTTTTATCCTTCGGGATTTGTTTCAAAATCTTTTTTCAAAAAAAAAAGTACGTTACTTTTTCGTTCTACCACAAACAGGCATCGACCCTAACTGTTAGAATGAGAACTTAACGTTTCTCATAAAAAAACACTTAACCAACTTGTGGTTTTGTATTTAGCCGGATTACGTTTGCTCAGATTTCTCATACCAGATGAGGATACGTAGGCACAAGACGGTGATGTCTTGGCGAGCAACCATCCCTCATCACCTGTAGTTTTCCGAACTACGTTGACTCTAACTTTCCCATTTCACGAGGGAATACGTAGGCATAGGGCGGCGATGTTCTATCGAGTCTCCTTTTTCTTTTCCCTCCCCCTTTTAGCAGTAGCTTTTAGATAACGCACCCTTTGATTAAACAACAAGCGTGGATCCTGTTGAGTACAACGGACGTGAGGGATGCTCATACCTTCCTCTTGCGTAACTGACTCCCGAACACAAGATTTGATTGCGACGACCTTGTCTTCTCCTTTCTCTTAGGTTTTCTTCGATCGTTTCCTTTCTCTGTATCGGGATAAATAACATTCAGTGGCAATTCTTCTATTTGTTTCCGCCGGTTATTTTTCGCAGTTGCGACAACGTGAACACTAATTGAAATGAATGAGAGTACGTGGTTGTAAGCCTAAAATGCTTTCCTTCTACTGAACCATCAAAAAGTAATTGTTTCAATTTTGCAGGAGCATTAACTTGTGAAAATGATATCTTTCCACCAGTACAACATGTGTCACGTGATCCATGGTGAAACAATCTTGCATTACAATTTCTACTGGTAGTTGGATTAGGCAACCAAAATTTTGCCATCATAATGTTATTATTGAAATTTAGAACAATATTGTATTTTGCTCGACAAACTTATCATGATTATACATGTAGGAGTTTGATATTGATTATTAAATGTTATCTAAACTCTAAAATAAAATAAAAAAAAGAAATTAATGCAAGGTGCCTCAACTAGAAGATTTAATATTGTATAATTTTCAATATCATGTCTATTAAATATAAGCTACATTTACTTGATACAAAAAGTCAATGAACATACGGATGACATGACGATGCATTATTATCTATGCCTTCCATATTAACATGCGATATTACTACATCCTCCAAAGATTCATCAACATGCATATCGTTTAATACGAAAATAATAATTAACATAAGTATATATAGATATATGTGTTAAAAAAGTTATCACATAAAACAAAATTTATTATACCTGTACCAGATTGACTGTTATTGATATCTTGATTAGGTGATGCCAACGATCTGTTGGTTTAAATACATACATTAAACGAAAAATTAACAATATTATATAATGAACATACACATAATTAATATATTGATCATCACCAACCCAATGCGACACCATTAACATGTGTAATTCTACTTGGACCGACTTCATTGTCATGAGTTTCTTGAAAGTGTAAACTTGGAAAAGTCATATCATTCCAATTTTAAAATGGAACTCTCAATCGACTATCAGTGTGTGATTTTTTAGATTATTTCTCTTGATATTTTCGCTGCCTATAAAGTTTTCATCGTTTCGATAAATGATTTTCTCTTTGCTCGTTGTGTATATTTTGTTTTCTTTTTCGTTTATTTTTTGCTCTTTGTGCCTTTTGATGTTGACTTGACATTTGGTGGATATTATTTTTCATGTTGATGATATAGTTGTCAAACATGTGTATGCAATTTAGTTGCAAACATTTTATGTGGATAATTACACTAATCACGTTGAAAAATAGTAACAAATATAAAATAGGATATGAAATAGAAATTTATTTAAAAATAAAAACAACAAAAACAATATTTGTAAAACATATGCTAAAATAATATAAACCTAAACTTATCTAAACTTAAACATATAAATCATGAAGAGGAAAATGTAAAATAAATTAAAAATAGAAAATAAATAAAAAGAAACACGCTGGACAAATAAAAGAAAACATTGCACTTTCACTGACAATTGAAATTTAATAACTTCCGCTTGTATTAATTTTGATTTAAATATGCTTTGATTTGATAAGTATAATTAAATTAGGAATTTATGATATTAAAAAGATATTTTAGTATAAGGTAATGTTAACTTGTGCCCTTGGGGCACATGTTAAGAAAGTCACTTATAGTAAATTTGCATTGGAAAAAATGATTTAAAAATTAATTTTATACTTTAATTAAAGTTTGTACACAATTTTCAAGACAATGTTTCTTAATTTAGTTTTTAAGTTGTGCCCCAAGGGCACAAATTAACATTACCCTTTAGTATATGGGTAATGTTAACTTGTGCCCTTGGGACACATGTTAAGAATGTCACTTATAGTAAATTTGCATTGGAAAAAACGATTTAAAAATTAATTTTATACTTTAATTAAAGTTTGTACACAATTTCCAAGACAATATTTCTTAATTTAGTTCTTAAGTTGTGCCCCAAAAGCACAAGTTAACATTACCCTTTAGTATATGGGTAATGTTAACTTGTGCCCTTGGGGCACATGTTAAGAAAGTCACTTATAGTAAATTTGCATTGGAAAAAACGATTTAAAAACTAATTTTATACTTTAATTAAAGTTGGTACACAATTTCCAAGACAATATTTCTTAATTTAGTTCTTAAGTTGTGCCCCAAGGGCACAAATTAACATTACCCTTTAGTATACGGGTAATGTTAACTTGTGCCCTTGGGACACATGTTAAGAAAGTCACTTATAGTAAATTTGCATTGGGACAATTTACATTAAAAAATATTTTAAAATACTATAATATTTATTTATGTTACAATAATTGTGATTAATTTTCTTATATAAATATGTCTCTAATATTAAAGGATCTTATAACTAAAATATTCTCATTAATGAAACTATACTTCATTAATTATAGAGATTAGACATAGTCATAATGTAACACTGCTAAGGTAATTGCCAGAAATAAAAAAGAAATACGTAAATCAATAAAAATAATGATTAAATTAAAATGTTTTGGACATTGTGTAATTGGCATGAAAAATGATGAAAATCAATAAAAACAATGAATATATTAATTGTTTTTTGAAAAATTTTAATTGTTCGATAAAAATTAAGAACTACTTCTTCTCGTATTTGATTTTAGGCTTAAATCCTACTTTAGTTTCCAAGTTTTTTTGGTTTTGTTTTCTATTTTAAAATGGGTTTTGATCCTTGTTTGAGTATTTATCAAGATTTTAGTCTATCAATCTTTAATTAAACATGCGTTCAATGCATATTATTACATGTTTTTAGCAAGACAAAATAATTAACACATGAACAAATATTCAACACAAATCAATAAATACAATATAAAATTAATATATGTATCCCTTCAATAAAAATAGGCCTTTACTTAGTCTTTCATTAATCCATCTTTTATGATTTAAATTTGCATCGAAACATTTCATTAATCCATCTTTTATGATTTAAATTTGCATCGAAACAAAGAAAGAAAATGGAGAACTCACTCTCACATGAAAATGAAATGTATAAATATTTGATTTGAAAAATACATCGTGATTTATCGAAAAAGTAGTAGATGTTTTTATCTAGGCAGTTCTCCCGTTTTTTAACTTTCACTATAAATTAAAAATTACTGTAAAATTAAGACAAATATGAAAGGAATATATTAATAGAAAAAGATGTAAAGAATAAATTGAGAGATATAAATAAAAATATGAGGAGAGTCGGTCTAATCTAACGGCTCAGATAAAAATATTAGGAGTTGTATCATGTAACTTTACAACTTCTCTTTGAATATTCAATTTTTTACACTATTTTAAAAATAAATAAATCAATAAAACAGTTAGAAAATATAGGAAATTATATAAGGACAAGTTTGGAAAAATAAAATAAAGGAAAGGACATGTTTGAAAAAAATAAAGGCTATTTCAAAATGATATATCCTTTTTATACATAGTTATATATTACTTAATAATTGTGTCTAATTACTACTATTACTTTTCTAGTATCACGATGAATTGACAATTTATTTAAGACCAACATTTTCAATTTAATATTTTTGTTTAGTCAGAACACCCTAATATTTTAGGTGAATTAATGATTAAATAAAAATTTTAAAGAACATTAATTCTTAAGATCACAATCGAATAATATAATATGTCAAAAGTATTTTTTTTATTGAACAATAAAATTAGATTGATTTTATAAGGTTCAGCTAAACTGAGGGCTTCCTTTAGAAAGTAAATCTATGTTTATTTTTTGAAGAAACCTCAAAGACTGTAGCTTGTGATTAAAAGTTTTAGTCTCTCTTTCAAGAGGACTAGTCAACAGCTTTGCAAAGCTAGAGAGGACTTATCCAAAGCTCAAGATTATCTCAATCTAGACAAGATGAATGTGCAAATTATTGACAGAGTTAAAGAATGTACAAATGAAGTATTGAGATTGAGCAGCCTTGAAGAGAGAATCCTTCAACAAAAATCCAAGATTGACTGGCTCAAGCTTGGCGATGGTAACAATTCATATTTCCACACTACTCTGAAAATTAGGCATAGGCAGGACCATTTGGAGCAGTTGAAGGATGAAAATGATAGAGACCTGATTCATCAGGAGGAGATAGAGGGAGAAATTCCCAGCTACTATAAAAATCTTATAGGCACTTCCAACAACCTGATCAGTATTGACCTAGTTGCTATGAGGAATGAACCTCAGCTCTCTCAAGAGCAACGGGATGTGCTATCTGCCCCCCATCACTAATGTTGAGATATTTGCTAGCCTAAAAGGCATTAAAGACTTGTCTGCCCCAGGCATTGATGGTTTCAATGCCAAGTTCTTTAAAAGCTCTTGGGATATCATTAAAGAGGACACTATCAAAGCTGTGAGAGACTTCTTTAAAAAAGGGACCCTTTATAGAGCTGTCAACTGCACTCTTATTACCCTCATCCTCGAAACTAGTAATGCCAACAAGATAAAGGATTTCAGACCTAAATCTTGTTGTACTGTAATTTACAAGGTGATTTCCAGGATTATGACCAAGAGGCTGGGGAAAGTGCTCAAGAGTATTATCAACAGCAGTCAAGCTGCTTTTGTTCTAGGTAAAAACATACATGATCATATCCTTTTCGCCTTTGAGTTGATTAGAGGGTACAAGACTAAGAATGGTGCTCCAAAGTGCATGCTTCAGATGGACTTTCAAAAAGCCTATAACACTGTAGAGTGGGGGGCTTTGGAGTCCATCTTAAAAGAGCTTATTTTTCCTCAGAAGTTCATCAATTGGATTATGATCACAGTGACATCATTTTCTTATAAATTCCAATTTAATGGTGCCTACACTCAAATGATGGCTGCTAAAAGAGGTCTGAGGCAGGGGAACCCTCTCTCCCCCCTGTTGTTTGTGATCATTATGGAATATCTCCATAGACTCCTCCAAAGTCTTAAGGATAAACCAGATTTCAACTATCATTCAAAATGTGAATAGATGGGCATTATAAATCTGAGTTTTGCAGATGACCTTTTGTTGTTTTCTAGATGTGATACATAATTTGTTAGGCTGCTTATGAAGGTTTATGAGACTTTCTCTAAATCTATTGGGCTGAGAATTAACCCTGATAAATGCAAAGTTTTCTTTGGCAATCTGGCTGATGATGACAGACAAGGTATTATTAAGGCTACCAAGTTTGATGAGGGCCAATTACCCTTCAAATACCTTGGTATACCCTTAACTAGAAGAAAATTGAACCTCACTCATTATCTCCCCTTGATTGATAAAATACTGGCCAGAGTGAAGCATTTAAGCTCTAGGTTGTTATCTTTTGCTGGAAGAGCTCAATTAATTAATAGTGTCATTTTCTCCCTGACTAATTATTGGATGCAATGTCTACCATTGCCTAAAAAAGTTATTCACAGAATCCATGTTGTCTGCAGATTATTTCTTTGGTCAGGTACTGAGAAAGTGAGCAGGAAGTCCCCAATAGCTTGGATGAAAGTTTGTTCAGCTAGAAAGCAGGGAGGCCTGAACCTGGTTGATATCAGCAATTAGAATTCTATTTTCCTTGCCAAGATAATGTGAAATATTGCCTTGAAAGCTGATAGCATGTGGATAAGATGGATACATAGTTATTACATCAAAGGCCAGGATGTCATGATAATGGAAATCAAGGATAGCACATCCTGGATTTTCAAAACCATAATGAAGCTCAAACCAACTGTTGGAAACTTGGAAGTTTGGAATGACTTTATGCAAGAAAACAAGTTTAGCACAAGAAAGTTTTATGTTGTTTTAAATGATAAGCATTAAGAGATGGATCGGAGAAAGTCGTTCTACAACAACCCTGTTAGACCTATGGCTCTTTTCACCATGTGGACGGCTTGACACAAAAGACTTGCTACAAAAGACATATTGAATAATATAGGAATTAAAGTTGATGAGGCTTGTTGTTTCTGTCAAGAGAAGGAGAATATGGACCACCTGTTTTTTCAATGTAACATGATGAGGGAGATTTGAAGCAATGTGTTGTAGTGGATTCACATCACACATAACCTTGATAGTTGGGATAATGAGCTCAAGTGAATCATTGGGAGGTGTAAGTCCAAGGGTCCCAAATTCAAAATCCTCAAGTGTACCTTGGCAGAACCCCTTTATGAGTTGTGGAGGTTTAGGATTGATATTTGTTTTGGGACAGGAAGTAATGAGGGTATGGTTGAGGCTCGAATTATTGAAGTTATTACACATAGATGTTGGTTGAAGTATAATCTTAGGAAGGCCATTGGGATGTTCATCATTGATTCTTAGGGTGTTTCCCTTTTTGTAGCCTTTGTCTTTTGTTGTTCTTTTGTGGGGCTGGATCTCGTTTGTGAGATCGCTTGTGTTGTAATCGTTTTTGGTCAATAAAGTATTTTATTTCCAAAAAAAATACATCGATTTTCAAAAATTACCGTTAGTAATCACTCGACACTAGAGATCATATATATATATATATATATATATATATATATATATATATATATATATATATATATATATATATATATATATATATATATATATATATATATATATATATATATATATATATATATATATATATATATATATATATATATATATATATATATATGTATATATATATATATATATATATATATATATATATATATATATATATATATATATATATATATATATATATATATATATATATATATATATATATATATATATATATATATATATATATATATATATATATATATATATATATATATATAAAGTGGGGTTTAATTTACTTCAAGAGTAAATTTTTTAGCTTACTTTAAATCATGGTCTTTAATTTAGATGTAATCGAATAGTTAATTGAGTAAAAATTTAAATTACAATGAAATAAAAATATATAAAAGTGGGGTTCAACTTATTTTAAGAATAATTTTTTTTAACTTATTTTAAATCACAGTCTTTAATTTAGATGTAATCGAATAGTTAATTGAGTAAAAATTTGAATTACAATGAAATAAAAATGTTAACCATTAGGTTAGATTTAATTTAAATGATATAATTCAGAATAAATTAAAAAAAATATTTATTTTTAAAATAAATTTAATATATATATATATATATATATATATATATATATATATATATATATATATATATATATGTGTGTGTGTGTGTGTGTGTTTGTGTGTGTATATATATATATATATATATATATATATATATATATATATATATGTGTGTGTGTGTGTGTGTGTGTGTGTGTGTGTGTGTGTGTATATATATATATATATATATATATATATATATATATATATATATATATATATATATATATATATATATATATATATATATATATATATATATATATATATATATATATATATATATATATATATATATATATATATATATATATATATATATATATATATATATATATATATATATATATATATATATATATATATATATATATATATATATATATATATATATATATATATATATATATATATATATATATATATATATATATATATATATATATATATATATATATATATACACACACCAAAGTTTGTCTCTAGCGGAAGCAAGATCAGAATAGTTTGTATAAAAGAGAAGTATAGAAAGTGAATGATAGAGACAATATTACAAGAAACTTCAAACTTGTTATTCAAAGGTGTGTCTTACAAAGTAAACTGAAATCCCTTTATATAGGGAAGAAAAGGCTTACTATTTAAGCCGGTAACCACTACTTACAATAGCCGGTAAACTAAAACACAACTTGTATAATTATTGTCGGGTACTCTTTGGGCCCCATTGACACAACAATTAACAAGAAACCAAAAAACTTTAACAAAAGAAAAAAAATGCATGCCTAGAAATTCTAAAGACAAGATAAGATTCTTATTATCTTGTCTTTTACAAAAGAAAGAAAATGCATGCAATTATGCCTAGAAGTTTTAAAGACAAGATAAGATTCTCTTGTCTTTTGCTTTTGTAAAGATTCTTCTTCTATTATTTCTTGTCCTCTAGCCTTTGTCCATTGTTTCTAGACAAGATAAACATTTAATTCTTTGCTTTTCCTTTTACTTTCATACATTGAATCATTGCATCCCAGAAATCTTCTGCAGTAGCTTCATCTGCTTGACATTCTCCTGCTAAACCAGCAAAGTTATGGGAATTCATTGATCCCATGGAAGAGCTTGTTTTCATAGATGAATCATCATCTTTTGATGCTTTTGTTGGAAAAGTAGAGAAGAATTGGTTCTTCATATGATCTAAAATTCTAACCATGATTTCATCTTGTGATTCATTGGGATATTTTCTCTGGAAGAAGTTCTTCATGTTTTCCATAGATATTTGTTGGGAGCTTTGCTCCTTGACCTTATTATTCTGGTCTTCAGCTATAGCTTCTTGAATTAATTTTATTTTATTCTAGACATATTTTGAACTCATCTTGTTCCACCATTTATAAAAGAAATTTCTTTCTAAAATGAGAATGTTGAATTTATTTTTTGATATAGTGATTGACCATCTCCATATCCATGGAATCTGAAATTTAGTAAAGAAGAAGAATGGACATTGTCCAGTGATCAAATTATCAGATAAAATTTTTACAATAAGTGGACTATTATCACACCATGGATTGTATAAGTTAAGAATTTCTTTAGGAAGAATCTCCAAAGATGGACCAAATTTAGCCCACCATTCATAAAACCAATTTGGTATGGGTTTATTAACCATCTCTTGATTAATAGAGAAAAACCAAGAATGCTTGTTCTTGCGATTTTGGTAATAAAAAGCTTGAGTGAAAGCTTGGACATAGTCCCAATAATTAAAGTAAATATACTTTCCTTCTGCAATTCTTATTTTCTTTTCAGCATTTGAGTTGAGACCCCATTCTCTTGGTAACAAAATTTTGTTAATGTGACATTTATTGAAGTTTATAAAACTTTCAGGATTATTGTTTTGGTAATGGTGAGTAATTGTTACCGATTCGGTAACAGTCAAGAGAATTTCTAGGTTGGGCCTAGATTTTCCATGAAGACCTGGATATCCTCTTGATTCGAGGTATCTAGTTTTGATAGACCAACCATCATTTAGATTTATCTTCATATCTTCACCATCAATATACATGATTTTTTCAGTTACTGGATTTTTAAAATAATCCATTTGTTCTTGAGGTGGGTTATTAACTGCAACTTCCTTGTAGGATGTAGTTTTATTAGAGGAAGAGGAAGCAATATCTTCCTTT